CTGATGTTCAATGTTCTATTTTTAGTTATAAGAAATCTTTTTTTCTTTCTCTTTTCCCTCTTTTAATGTAAGAATATTGTTAATGTTGAATCTTAACAATCCTGTTCCTTCCTCAACTGATATTATAAGTAATTGATTTTCTTCTTGAGGCAGATGATGGAAAAAAATTGCTACCTTATTTTGTGATAAAATGCTATATCTGCCATATGTAATTCCCTTTCAAAGAATATTTTTCACACGTTAAAGTAGTCTTTGTCGGTCAGAAGTGAACATCCCAAAATATGTTTAACATTGCCCCAGTCTCTTGAGCCTTGATGGAAAGGCTCTTATTTATTTCTCCCTACCAATCCACGTGATGCTAATTTCAACTGAAGAAGGCCAGCATCAGCTGTAATTGGACTGTTGAACCTATTGATGAACTTAAGCTAGATGTAAACATTACAAATGTAACATGTAACACTTGGTGTAGACTGTTCTTCCTAAGACTCTGGAACAGGCTTGTAGCCAACCCACACCTAACACAAGCTTTTGAAATTGTTGGACATGTTTTAATGCTTATTGCTTTCTATTGACATTTTGCTATCATTTTCTTGCTTGCAGTTACCTTGTGTGTTTTTGTCCTACTGCTCAAATATTGTTGTCATTATCCTCTGTTAGTCATTCTGATTTGATGACCTGGTGAGGATTAGAATCATTGCTATACATTTTTTGTTCTGAGTATTTTGACTATTTTTCTGCTAATCATTTTCCTATGTACTCTGTATTCAGTTAGTCCTATGATGGTAACTGAAGAGGTTTATTTTGCAGTAGCCATCATTTTCTTGGTTTTTACATTCGTGTATTATGTTGGGGAAGTCTTCTTCCATTATGAAGCTTTCCTTAGGTTTTATTCTGCTGCAGTTCACCACTCCTCTTGAGGCTTGGAATGAAAATGCTTTGACCAAATTGTTCCAAGCAGTGGCTTAGGCCAGCAGCTTAACTAATTGTCAGATTTGCTACCCAACCCCTCCATCTAGACATGAGAACTCCGATTCTCTAGTTTATCCAGTTACAAATTAAATTTAGGAGTCCCCTTTGAAATTCATTCCTATTATGATAGCATACATTGGACCTATAACTTAAAATTACTGGAAAAAAGAAGAACCAAAAGAGCTGATGCTCAAGGAAGAATAAGTACCAAGACCTTAGCTAAAAGCCCAGGGAACAGATATTCTTCCTTGGAGAATTTTGCCCTGGTATGGAGTAACAGCTTTAGAACATGCTGTCTGTAACTTGTCTAATACTATGGAAAAGTTAGCAGGAAACATTGCTGATAGCATTGAAGCCCAAAAACTGTCTTTAAATTTCCTGGTTGAGGTTGTGTTGGATAATATAATTGTCCTGGATTTTCTTCTAGCCCAACAAGGAGGGTTATGTGCCATTACTAACACCTCTTTTTCTGCCTGGATAAACACATCAGGGGAAGTAGAACAAAATGTCAAAACAATTTGCCAGATGGCTACCTAGCTCCACATCTCTCCCCAACCTGACTCCCCTTTCTTAGACATATATAGTTCATTACCAAAAAGGAATATATCATGGATTAAGTCTAGCTTACTTGCTGGTTTAATAATACCAAAAAAAGAGAAAAGAAAAACCAAACCCGTTGCCATCGAGTCTATTTCGACTCTTAGCAACCCTATAGGACAGGGTAGAACTGAGGAGTGCCTGGCAGATTAGAACTGCTGACCTTTTGGTTAGCAGCTGTAGCTCTTAACCACTATGCCACCAGGGTTTCTGGTTTAATAATACTCATTGTAATTGCAATTACTGTTGGAACTATGAAATGTTGTCCTAATGAAAAGAATTATGTGCATTAAGAGTACTCATATTTCTGATGAACTCAAGGTCACTCCTTAAACCAGCCCCCTTTAAAGCCAGGTTACTCCTGATTTAGGATATAATATTGGAATTATGATTCCCTGACCTTGAGCATAAAGAATGTGACCCAGCTGGAGCTGGGCTCACAAGGGCTCACCAGGACTCACAAGGACACATCAACTGGGCCCTGAGGTATAAAGACAATAGCTAAGATAATCTTGGAAAATATCTTTTAGAGAAACTGTCACATAAAGCCAATCAAACAGAACACAAAAGACTTTCTACTCTTTTTCTATTAGCATTTAGTGAACAGAAATTTTTTGGACCAGTGAAGACCCTCCTGACTGTCATTACTGAAACCTGTACCAATGATTGTTAAGAAAGACAATTCAATATGTAGGATCACAGTTTCTAGCCAATCTGTGAAAAGGTGAAGCTTTCAATTGTTTTGTCCATTTGTGATGTTAATATATACTGATGACTGTGTAATGGTCTTTGGACTCTGGCAGACGTGGCTGTGGCAGCATGCTTGTCTGTTTTCCCACTCTTGCCTATTCTGTAATATTCTTTGGACTCAGGCACACATGGCTGTGGCAGCATGCTTGTCTGTTTTCCCACTTTTGTCTGTTCTGTGATATTTCCTTGGACTTGGGCAGACATGGCTCTGGCGGCATGGTTGTCCATTTCCCATTTTTGCCTTTTTGAATATATGCCGAATAAAACTTCCTTTTTGCTTTACTTTTTTACCCTACAACACTCGTCAATCTGGCCCACTCTATACATCATTCAAAGATTAACACTGCAGAAGTAGAAGCTCCAGCTATGGCATCGTGAAGATTTTAGATGGAGCCTGGCTATTTATAAATAGCATCTAAGGTCTTAAAGTCTTAGGATAGTAAGCAGCCATCTATAAGAACCTCTGAAAGACAGCAAAATGCTGTCCTACTGGGAGATACCAATCCAAGTCCATGCAGAAGAAAGCACTCTCCCCAAAATGGTGGTTGATAATGTGGTCAGAAACTCTTGATCGAAAGGAAGGAATGAATAAGAACTGCAGAACAGAGGTGCCTGGCATATCTAGGGTGGCTGGCCTAGCAGTAGGCCTGACTCCATTTTGTTTTACACTTCTGTTTTTGCTTTAAAACTATAACTCTTGTACTAATTTCAACAGTTCATTGAAAAGGCAATGTGGTTACGCTTAAACAAGTCCAGGTAAGCCCAGGCTATGCTTAGACAAGTCCAGATAAGCCCAGGGAGGGTCTGAGGAAATAATCCTCACCAGAACGTGGCCATGCCCAGGCAAGTCCAAGCAAGCCCAGGCAAGTCCAGGGAAGTCTGGGGAGGGTCAAGCAGTCAGAATCTTACAGGGAAGTTCTTGGTTCTGTCCTATAACTTTCCCTATGAAGCAGCCACCCTTAGATTCATTGGTTCTCACTTTGTGTGGGCTAACGTCTCCCCATTTGAGTGTTCCTTATGCTTTCAATAAATCGCTTTGTTCTGCTTTAACTGCATCTGAGAGCTTTTGCACTTCGACAGAGGTTATAATTTGGTGGTAATTGGGGTCAGTGTTATGAGATTGGAAGCAGGGAATAATTAGGGAAGGTATAATGAGAACTCATCTAGTCATAGAGTCAACATGAGTCAGAATCAACTGGATGGCAACTGATTAAATTTAGTCTGGAAGAACAGTTGCTGTTAGTTGACATCCAGTGAATTCCAACTCATGCAGACCACATTTGTGCAGAGTTGAACTGCTCCATTGGGTTTTCAAGGCTGTTACCTTTTGGAAGCAGATCACCAGGCCGATTTTCCAATGCATCTCTTGGTGAGTTCAAATCTCAAAACTTTTGATTAGTAGGTGAGCGCTCAACCTTTTGTGCTATACAGGACTCCCTGGGAGGACAGAGAAGGCCCTAACAGAATTCAGCATAGGCATGTATATTCAAGTAAATTTTCAAAAGCAAATTCCAAAAAGAATCCACACTGTAGCAATCAGTATCTTCTGTTTGCAAGTTTGTTTGTATTTAATTTGTGATATGTTTGGTTTTAGCTGTATAAGAGCTATAACTGCGTTATGTGTATAATAGTGTTGGGTGTATGTATATTTAGGTAATAGTATAATAAAATTCTTTAAATCAACATTGAGAGTCAGAATATTTTTCCTTTTTAAAGGGAAATACTGAAGACCATTTAGGCGAAGCAAACTAATATAAAAGATAAAGCAAAGAAATAGGAACCAAGGCATTTGGTGTCGATTCCTAGCTCACTGGGGACAGCCATCTGTGTCTTGAATCCCATAATTTGTAAAATATGATTTACAAGGGGTTGTAACAGAATATTTTAGAGGTTTTGAGCTAACGAAGGATAAAATTTAAAAATCCCCGTACTACTGAGAAAGTTCCAGAAATTATTCACGAGTTTATTATAGTAAAGAAAATGGAGAAAAGAAAGGGGGCAGGTACAGCACGTAACACTCAAGAAAACAAGGCACTGAAAGGAAAAATGAAGAGGCAGAAAGTGTCTGGTAAACTCTCCACAGCAGGAAACAGTACTGTGCATACAGCAGTTACTGAAGAAGTACTTGTTGGAATTTCCAAAGATGACCAAGCAAACATGAAAAAGGAAGTGGCTTTTTAAAAGTTTTATTATGGAAGATTTCTAACATGTACAAAAGTATGGAGAGTAGTATTAAGAACTCCCACGCAACTTCAATAGTCATCATCACACATGACCCGTCTTGCTTCCTTTCTCTCTACCCCTCCCCATTATTCTGAAACAAATTCCAGATACATCATTTCAACCCTAAAAATGTCAGCACACATCCCTAAAAGATTTTTTTTTTTTTAAGTAATCACAATAAAGAAGGAGGTGGTTAAGTTTTTTCACAAAGCTCTCCAGTAGGGAAGCTCGCCCCATAAATCCACACCCCAAGGAGCGAGAGGACCTCCCCCGCCCCCACCACTTCCTTTCAAGGCAGGGACCGCTGGACCTGCCTTTTAAGGCTGTGGCTGATCGTCGCCCCGCCCCTCTCCCCGGGAAGTTCCCGCCCACTGGGCTCCCGCCAACCTCGCGCGCCCCCGTCTACCAGCGCCGCCTCGGCGTAGGGAGGGGCGCGCCGCCTGCAAACGCTGGGCCCGGAGTCGGGAGCGCGCACGCCGTGCGTCTCGGGCGCGCTCTGCATTCTCGCCTGGCTCCGCCTGGGAAAGGCGAACGGTTTGGCCTGCCATGTTGTTCTCCGCGGCGCTGCGGGCCGGAGCGGCTGGCCTCACCGCCCCGTGGGTAAGGAGGCTCGGGATGAGCCCGAGCACTGCCGCCGCCTTTCTTCTTGTCTCCGTGCCTCCCTTTGTTGTGGGCACGGGAGAGCCCTGGGCTCCCGACGGGCGTTGCAGGCGAGGGCAAGGACACTGTGGCCTTCGCCTTGTCCTTAGGGAGGACACTGCCGCCCCATCACGAGTAGGGAGCGCCGAGCGAGGGTCGGCACGTGTGGCTGCGGCCGGCGCCTGGCCTCCCCTACAAAACTGGGGAGTTTACCTTAGTTTGTCAAGGAGAAGGTGAAGGAGGGCCGCTCGGTGGGCTGATTTTTGCCCTTTCGCTCTAGGGCGGGTCTGGCAGATCTGTTCCTCGTCCCCCATGGGCAGGCGTCTTGCATATCCAGCCCAGTGTACTTGTTGCTGTAAGGTCGCAGCATACTGGAGGGAACGCTTCAGGTTGTAGGCTCTGGCTTTCTTGGTGAAGGATTCCTGACAGTTGCCTTAGGCCCAGAGAAAGTGACCATTGTTTCCTTTAGTGCGTTTATGCTTCGTGTATCGGAAATGCTCGGTAAACACTCGTGACAAACTACATTGGTGAAAGACCGTCCGGGAACAGCACCACAGATACAGCACCCAGTTAAGGAGTCTTAGGATTTTAGAGCTTGAAAGGTCTTTGGAGATCAGGTACATCTCCTAATGGGTAAAGATACTGAATCTCAGAGGTTGAAACACTCATTCAAGTTAATTTTAAAAAGCGGATTCCAGAAACCGACGATAATAACAACAGGACGTTTACTGGAAAGAAAAAAGCTTTTTTTCCCCCCCTTGCCCTAGAGGTAAAACAGGGAGTTAGTGTGTGTGAGTATAGAATGACCTTAAGGCTTTAAAGTTAGACCCGAGTTAGGATCATGGCTTCACCACCTTTTCTAGCTGTGTGACCTTCGGCTGTTTATTTTTGTCACTTTTAATTTCTTCTGTTGTAAAATGGGAATGTTCCAGTTTGCAGAGTTTAGCCTTCCAATAAATATTTGAGGCCCTCTGGGGCTCCAGGTCTGCAGGGCCCAGGGAACAATAGAGGTAATATTTGTTGACTTACTTTTAATGTGCCAAGCACTGTGTTAAATATTTACATTCCACATTTCACTTAATCCTAATAACAACTATGAGGTTGGTACTGTTATTTCCCCATTTTGTAGATGAGGAAACATTTAGACAGTCCCTGTTCTTGCGGAGCTGATAGTTTCTTGTAAGAGGGTAGATGTGATACGGTGTAAAAATACAATGTTAGAGATGTAAATTAAAAAAACAAACAACAGTTGCCATGAGTGGGACTCTAGGTGGCCCCGTGTGTTGCAAAGTAGAACTGCTTCATAGGGCTTTCCTTTCTTCCAAGGCACCTCTGGGTGGGTTTGAACCTCCAGCCTTTTGGTTAGTAGCTGAGTGCTTAACTGTTTGCACCATCCAGAGATATGAATAGGGCCATCCAACTTGGTTTGAAGGTGGGATAAGATTTTTCCTGGAGGTGATACTAACATCTTAGTATTGGCTGCGTTGGAGAGGGGATTCTAGGTGGGAAGGACGGCATGAGCAAAGTTTGGTGGGTGTGAAAAGCCTCAAGCCATGTTGCTGGACTCCACTGTTAAGGTAGGGTGTGCTCTGAGAGGAAATAGAGAGGTGGGCAGGGGCAGATGGTGGAGTTCCTTGCTTCCTGAGCTGAAGAATTTGACTGTCTTAGAGGCAGTGAGGAGTTAGCACAGAGTTTGAAGCAGCAGAGGGGCAGGTCAGGTTTCTCTTGTGGATGGATCTCTGGGTGACACCGAAAGTGGGATGGGTTTGATTGGAGCCAGAGACGGGGGTTACAGATAAGAGGCTCTTGCAGAACCCCAGGTGAGAGATGAGACTCAGAACTTGTGTACTAGCAGAAAGGATGGAAAGAAGAGACATTTCTTCTTATTTTCTTTTGTGTTTGAGGTGAAGTGGTTAAAAAACTAGTTGCTGTCAAGTCGATTCCGACTCATAGTGACCCTTTATTAAAAAGCAGTTTTAAGAGTGAAAAAGAACAATAACTTCAGCTAGTGGAGGAAATTTTTAATCAAGGTTCGTGTTAGTTTCTGCAACTTAAAATTTTTTCCTTTTTTACAAACAGTACCTGGTATGCAGTATGTGCATAATTTGTTGAATTGATGAATAATAGTTTTTTTTACTGTACAACTAATGCATTGTTAGGGAAAACAATACATTGTAGGAAAAACAGAATATAGAGAGCAGCAAATAGAATAAACTAAAAAAAAAAAAACAAAAAAACAAAAAAACTCCATAGCCTCATCGACCTGGAAATTACCACTGTTAATATTTTAACATTAAGAGAACTTACTGTTCAGAATTTTTTTTTTTTTTTACAAAAATGGAATGGTATTGTTTGTGCTGTTTTATAGCCTGCTTTTTTCCATAATACATTTGATCAGTCAGCTTCGTATGTCAGTAAACATTACTATCATTTTTTTTGTTTCATGGCATTCCATTGTGAGGCTGTTCCCTAACATATATAATCAGGCCCTTAACTTGATCATCTTCTAGTCTTTGACAAATAGTGGCATATCAGAATGAATCAAGCAAAGATCAGGAGAAGAAGGAATAAAGAGATCTGGCTAAGAATCTTTCTTTCTTAAAAGGGAAACCTTTAAAAAGACCAATTACATTTTCAAAAATAGTGCCTATACTGTTATAATTTCTGTGTTGCTAGCTAACTGCCAGTCTCTTCAGCTACAGGTTTTTCAGCTCATCATTGCTTAAAAAATATCTAGAATTTAGTCCTGTGGCTGGGACTACATGACAAATACACCAATTCTTTTTGGTAGAGAAGCAAGTGTTTGGGATTAAGCTGCAGAATTGCATAGTTATGGTGGTGAGTGAAAACAGTTTAATTTTATCAGTTTAGTAAAAGTATGCATTTTGAGGGGGAAATTAGGAAATTTTGTTCGTATGCTGAGGTTCTAAGCTATGATTTGCAACGCAGAAAAGTGATCTTGTAATTATCAACACCAGTTTAATGTGCTGTTTAGTAAAATAAAGATTTATTAGAATACTTAGAAATGGTGAATAGACTGTTGAAAATATAACAGAACATACTTTTATCCTTGTCTTAACCGATGTATAATGCACATGGAATACTGCATACAGTTTTTAGTCCCCTTCACCTCAAGAATGGCATAATGAAACTAGAAAATATCCAGAAAATGGTAACTAAAATCAATTGAGTGTTTTCAGCTTGTATATGAAGTTAGATTTAAAAAACTGTCTCCCTGAGAAGGGTAAGGTTCAGAAAGGGGAAGTGAAGTATAAATCATGAAGAGGAGAGAAAGGGTAAAAAGACTTGTCACCTCAGTTAACAAAATATTAGCAGTTAATGTTGATAGGAAATACTCTTGAATCAAATAGAAGAATGTCATGCTGTTTTTAGGGGATGTCACGGTAGTATCATGAAAAAATTACACAAGTTGGAAAATACAAATAATGTCATGCCGTGTTTAGATGGTTAAATTTGTTGTGATATGTAGCACATGTCCTTAATTGTTTGAGGTATGGAGAAGTAAGTTCCTTATAATCACTGGCTAAATATTCCTTAATACTTCCAAAGGTAGAATCCTAGTTGGGATGTCTTTTTCTTGGTTTCATTAGCATTTCAAGAAACTTTCATAAAATCCATTAACTGTGAGCTAGGGTCTGGATAAAGTACCCCCCTCCATTGCTGTTGTGTCGATTCTGACTCATAGCGACCCTATAGTACAGTATCCCCTAAAGGAGTAATTCCCAGTCCTGATCAAAGAATCACCTAGTATGCTTTTAAAAATACAGGTAGTGGGGCTCTTCCTGGAGATAGGTTTATTAATTTTTTTTTAGTTGTACATTAGATGAAGGTTTACAGAGCAAACTAGTTTCTCATTGAACAATTAATACACGTATTGTTTTGTGACATTGGTTGCCAACCCCATGACATGTCAACACTCTCCCCTTCTCAACCTTGGGTTCCCCATTACCAGCTTTGCTGTTCCCTCCTGCCTTCTTTCCTTGCCGCTGGACTGGTGTGCCCCATTAGTCTTGCTTTGTTTTATGGGGCTGTCTAATCTTTGGCTGAACGGTGAACCTTGGGAGTGACTTCATTACTTAGCTAAAAGGCCATACTCTCGGGGTTTCTCCAGTTGCTGTCAGGCCAGTAAGTCTGGTCTTTTTTTGTGAGTTAGAATTTTGTTCTGCGTTTTTCTCCACCTCTGTCTGGGCCCGTCTATTGTGATCCCTGTCAGAGCCATCGATGGTGGTAGCAGGGCACCATTTAGTTGTGCTGGACTTAGTCTGGTGGAGGCTGTGGTAGTTGTGGTCCACTCATCCTTTGGACTAATCTTTCCCTTTTGTCTTTGGTTTTCTTCATTCTCCTTTGCTCCAGATGAGGTGAGACCAGTGGAGTATCTTAGATGGCTGCTCACAAGCTTTTAAGACCCCAGACACGACTCACCAAGGTAGAATGTAGAACATTGTCTTTATAAACTATATTATGCCACTTGAGCTAGATGTTCCTCGAGAGGTTTATTAAGTTTTTTAATGAACATGTCTTATCTGAGTATTGGTGTTCAGGACTAGAAAATAAAGCAATTTTAATTTATACAGCATTTGTTTGTGTTTATTTGATTCTCAAGTTAAACTCAAAAGTTTGTCCTTAAATTTTACCAGTTAATTTGTTTAGGCCAAAAACTTTTTTAATCATTTAAAATTTGGAAAATGGAGGTTAGCTTTTACAGTCTGCTCTTAATTATTTAGAGTCTCATCTGTTTATGAGATTATTGAGGCCTATTGTTTGGCCTTTTTCTTTCCCACAGTAGCATTTTAGAGTTTGCTTGTTTTGACCCCTCACCCCATCCTGTCCTGAGGAAAAAAGCTAAGAGAAATTAAAGCATTGCTGCTTAATTAAAGCTGTAATAATAATGCTAACATTGAAGAACTTCCAGTGACACTCTGCTACTTTGTCTCCTTAAT